GCATCCAAGATTACATGTTTCCCTGATGTTACCATGTAGCTACATATGTTAGTGTACTTGCAGCCGGGGAACAACTAACAGTGAATAGCGGCATTTTTGACCACAAAAAAAACAAAAAACAACAAAAAAAAAAAAAAAAAATCAATAAAGGCATTTAAACACAACCTGACATGTTCCAACAGGAATATGATCCACGATCAGAGAGAAATTAACATCACTCACTAAGATATCATGTTTCCCACATGTTAGCCTGTAGTTACATGTAGCATAGTACATGCAAGCGGGCGGTGACTATAAAAAAATCACAAATAAAAGCTTCTGAACTCAACTGAACATAATCTAAAATTGGGGAGAAATGAACAACTTCAGCCGCTAAGATTACATGTTTCCCTGACGTTAGCATGTAGCTACATGTAGCAGTGTACTTTGCAGCTGGGGAGTGACTGTAACAGGGAATAGCTGCATTTTCAACCACATAAAAATCATCAGTTAAAGCTTCTAAACACAACCCGACATGTTCCAGCAGGAATATGATCTGAAATTGGGGAGAAACTGACAACTTCAGCAATCAAGATTATCTGTTTCCCTGGCTCCATGTCATTGGTTCAACAGCCATTGGTTCGACGTCCCATTAGTCTGACTGTCTGCGGTGCTGAACGGCTTGCGGCGGGCGTATGGTGCGCCGCGACCAGCTTGAGGCGGAGCAGGCTCACAGCTTATGTGTTTGTCACTTTCTTTTTCATTTTAACCCACACCATGATCTTTTCCTGACCCTAACCAAGTGGTTTTTGTGCCTATACCTAACCAGACCTTAACCACAGGGCATCATGATGATTTCGGAACGGACTTCGGAACAATGAGTTTAATATGGTCAGAACAATGGGATGTCGAACCAATGGGCAGTCGAACCAATGGGCAGTTCCCGTTTCCCTGATGTTAGCATGTAGCAGTGTACTTGTGGCTGGGGAATGACTGTAATGGAGAATAGCAACATTTTCAACCACAAAAAAAAAAAAAAAAATTCATCAATGAAAGCTTTGAAACAAACCGGACATGTTCCAATAGGGATCTGACCCAAAATCAGGGAAAAATGAACAACAGTCAGCAAGATTACATGTTTCCTGATATTAGCATGTAGCTACATGTAGCACTGTACTTGCAAGAGGGGAGTGACTGTGTATAGCAGCACTTGCTATGGTAAAAGAAAAATCACCAATAAAAGCTTCGTAACTAAAATCTTGACAAACAGACGTGTTCTAGCAGGAATATGATCTGAAATTTGGGAGAAATTCCCAACGTTGACAACCAAGATGATATGTTTCCCTGAGGCTAACATTAAGCGACATGTAACAATGTACTTGCAGCTGGGAAATGACTGCTATGGAGTATAGTCACAACAGGACATGTTCCAGCAGGAGCATATTCTGAGATCAGGAACAAATTAACAACTTCGGAAACAAAGATCATGTTTCCATGATGTTAGCAAGTAGCTACATGTAGCAGTGTTTGTTATGTAAACACTTGCAGTAGCATGCCTGGAGCAGATGAATATATTCAGAAATCTGCCACAAACTGACGTCAGCTTGGAGCCAAAGTAGAAAAAGTAGAGTATTTTGAACGTTCTAAAGCCTAAGGTTTTTGCTCACAGGGATACTTTTACATACATTATCCTAATTATTTTAAACTTTGGCCATGTTGAATGTGTACATCCAGAATGGCAACATTAAGCATAATAGGTCCCCTTTAATGACCAAAACTTCATTTGACAAAACAAAAAAGCGAACCTGCTCCATCAGGACTATTTCAGTGTGGTTTGATCAGATTGTGTTTTGCTAAAACTTCATTGGCACATGAAGGTAAATGATGTCATCTCTTCCCAATGACACCCAGCTCAATTCATAAAAAAAAACACTGGCAAAAAAATAAAGCACAGGCAGGAATCTCTAATGTAAACTTTGGCAGAAACATTTGTGTTCATGTCAGACCCATCAATCACAGGAATCAATCTTAAGGACCTTTAAACAAACACAAGATGCATCACTACTATTGCAGCAGTGTAAGTATACCATCAATTACACTGTGGTTTGGACTAGAGTTTGAATTTTGTAGTATCAGTAGAGTACTGTGAAGAAGTAATCACAGAGATCTTAACATGAGAACCTGTTTATACCTGGTATTAACAAGTGGACAGATTTATGCAACACATTCTCACTCCGACCTCGTCACATATCAACGTTTGGTCATGGACTTCCAATGTTAAGATATGATGTGCAAGATACCCTGGGTTCATTGGTTGCTTATGTTCTGGGGCGCTGTGTCAACTTAAGCCCATTACATATATTGGTCTGTTTTCAAAATAAACTCAAAAATATACACACTACAGTATGTTGGTACAACACTATGAGTTGACTTTTTTTTTTTTTTTTTGTACAACAAACACACACACATACGGTTGGGTTTAGGCAAAAAAGCACGTGATTGGGATTAGGAAAGAGGAACAGGTTTGGCTTCATGACCTTACAGGAAGTGAATACTTGCTCTCGGGTGAAAGTTGGTGGTTGATGGACCTGTCCACCAACCCTCCCACCAGCCCTGCTTGGACTTGGACTTGGCCTTAACTTTTGCTGTTGTCCCACTGCATTTCCCACCGACGCTGGGTGCTGTCAAACAAGAATGGTAACTGGCTGCATATCGTGCCAACATTAAAGGACGACCCGGTCTCACTCCAAAGTTGTTAAAGACATTGACGTCCTTTAATGTCGGCATGATGGTTGCCGCTTAGGGAAACGGAAAGATGGAAACGTGGTGGGACAAGAACAAAAGTTAAGGTGGTCGAGCAAACACTGACCTTCACTCAGGAAATCTAAACCCTGTTGTTTTTTCCTAAACCCAACCATGTGCCACTTGTTGAAGGAAAAAAAACCTTCAATCTGTGGTGCTGTACCGACGTAGTGTGTTTATTTTGAGAGACACTGTATGTAAACTGTACATTTCCTTTGAAAATAGAAGTGTATTTTGAAACAAGACTTGACACAACATCTCAAAACGTCAACAAGCAACACACCCGGTTTACCTTTCATGTCATATCATGACATGAAAAGTCCATGACCAAACGTTGATATGTGACAAGGTTGGAGTGAGAATGTGTTGGAAAGGACGGCTTTTTGTCTTGGCTTCTGACACCGGAAGTCACTAACCAAGTGCCTATATTCAACGACTTTAGAGTGAAACCAGGTCGCTTTATGTACAGGTGTGACTGCACCAAATGCATCCTCAATGAATCTTGAGATCTGATCACTAAGACCACATCTGGGGGTAGTCTGTACACTAATGTGTCCTGGGCCCTCATTAAAGGGCTGCCTACTCTTAAAGTCCTTGCTTATCTGACTAATTTTATGTTGCTGCCTTTACACAAGTTAGACACAGCACTAAAGGAGCTGATTCCTCCCAGAAAATGGTCAGTTCAATGTCAAGTTTTGTTTATTTCAATCAAGAAATTTCTGTATTTGTGTTTTTGTCTGATCAAATCACATCCACGCAGCAGATTAGCTGAGCTTTTACATGTTAAATTCTTACTTAATAATACCCAAGGATGTTTTTTGTTCTTCCAAACTTTAAATATGACTTTTGCATATTCAATCATGACTATTTAAGAGCACAGATAAAAATGAAGAGAGTTTAATTAAAGCAAAGTGAAAAGGCCTTTTGAGTCAAAATAGTTGGAAGTATAAAGATCTGGGAGCAGAAAAGGATGATACATGGAAAAATAACTTAAATGGAGGATGTGATACAATCCTTCTTCCTCCAGGCTGCTATGTTGACCTACGTTTGACATAATTTTGACCTGAAACAACTGTGTGAACAATCCTTAAGAAAAAAAAAAAGTTGTGCCCTCTTGGAAGAAATGAGGTGTTCAATCATTTTACCCTGCTGCCAATTTCTTTCCGGCAAACTTTTGAAACAAGAAAGATTTGTATCGAACAAGTGAATTGATTTCACCCAGGTTCTTTTTTCTCAAGAGCAACACATTCACCTCTCCGTTCTGCCTTTTCCTCTCCCTGAACCCGTGAATCAACATGCAATATAATTGCCTTTTCTGTGCCTTCTGTTCCTTTCTTTCCTCCGATCCATTTTTATGTGAGCCTGATTCATACAGCGGGCCATGCCGACTTAAAGCCAAGAAGTCACTTTAAAAGACAGTTTTGTTTTTTTTGTTTGCAGCCTCACTTCGGTTTCACTGGGATTTTGCTTTTTGCCTATGACTGTTCTGCCCTTCTTCTCAGCCCACTCCAGTTGGCAGTTCGGCATGTGAATATGGTAAAAAATTGTGACTGCCCGTGGTGAAAAAGGGCAAAAAAAAGTGACACAGACAGTTCCTCCCACGCATTTTTGTGGTGGATGGTGGCTATTTATCTCCCACCTCCAACACTCTTTTGCCTCAAAGCCTTTCCATTCTTCTCAGTTCTGTCGTTCTAGCTCTTTCACAATAAAAGCTTTCAATTCCTGCCAGTTTGGTTCCATTCACTACTATTTTTCCAAGCCCCCCTCCCTTCATTCTGTCCTTCTCAGCACACGCTAGACCTCCAAACCCTCGATGCTCCTCCCAGTGTGTCTCCACTCCCTTGGCTGTTAGCTCCACGCTGAGTGGGTTGGCAGGAGAGAAGAGGCAGTCAGCAGGAGGCGGGCCAGGGCCTGCCAGAGTGTGTTGCCACCCTACCGCGCAGCTGGCACCGGCATCAGGTTCTCTGTTATGGCTGAGTGTTGATATACCGTTCAGAGAGGACAATGAGGATGAGGGACGGGATGAGCGGGTGTGTGGATCCAGTCACCATTGGGTCAAAGAGTCACTCACCATATGGACGGCATGGATTGTGTTGTGCTCGCTGTCATACAAACAACAAACGGACTTCACAAGCGGTGATGTGAGCCCCCCCGCTGCATCCCTGACCCGCCAACAGTCACATACAACATATAGAAACAACAGTGTGTGGCGTTTGTACCTGTGCAGATGAAGAACTTGGACTCTCCGACACTTAACTCCACTTTGTTCAACGATATGGACACCTGCAGTGCGGCTATAATAGAAAGAGGAAAAAACAGAGGGAAATGGATTAGTTAGAATACAAAACAGAGGATTTTCATCATTTTGCAGACTGGAGCGACATAATAACACAAAATTGCTGTCAAAAACTGACAGCTTCTTTAGCACTGAGGCTCATTTCCTTCTTTGTACCAGATTTTTATACTTTCTGAGGACCATTTTCTATCATTTGTCGCCATATTCTGCATTTACAAGAACAGCAGCGAGTGGAGTACAAGCTTCTAAGAAATAACCACAGCTATTGCAAGCATCAGATGCATTGTCCCAACTGAAAAGAACACTTTATATATTTTTATCCAAACTTTAACTGCCTTCAAAGTTACTGTTCAACAGAACAGCGGAGCCATTTCTCCTCACAAAGAGACAGATTTGCTTGATACCTTCTATTAGGTGGTTTGTGATGAGCTTGTCAGTCAGTTTCACAATGAATGGGATCCTTTCAGCCTGAGGTAATGCTATTTGCAGTTATCACTCTTGACAGTGGTATATGCAGTGAACAACGGTGGGATGGGAATTTAAAGGCGGAGATATAGCAGAGATTAGTAAAAAACTGCTTGTATTTTCTTTTACATCCTCGATTTGAAATTGAGAGACAGAAAAAAAGAAACTGGATATGTCACTGGAATACGGCCGGGAGAAAAAATGCACAAATACCTTGCAGCTTGTGCCACAAAATTTGCAGAGTCAAGCTACAATCAAAGGCCATTTTTCTGCGCTGGGCTATTGTAAGCTCCACTGTAACGCCACACAATAGAGGCTCCGGTGCAAGTTTTGTAAGGCTGAAGTGAAAGGTACTTAGCTGAATAAGAGTGTGCCTCGATACGGCTGACGTGAATTTATCAAAAGCAGGAGAGGAGTAGTAGCAGAGAAGAGGATCAGACAAAGAAAGGGGAGTGTTTGACTGGCAGTGCAGCAAGACGGGGCTGAGAATGCGACTAGCTGTCTAATGTGATGAGTAATGATTGGCAACTCAGCGGGGAGAGGGTCATTTTTAGGCCAGAGCCTCTCGACGCGGCGGTAGTCCTGCCATGGCGCTGAGTGAAGCGAGATATTTGATGAGCCTGTCATATCTCTGCTCCTCATTCTCTGCCCTGAGAGCTGCAAGTCTAGTTAGGATCAAACTCCAACCACACACACACACTCATATTCACACACACACACTGTATAATACTCTAATGGATGTTAATTCTATATACAACGCTGGAAACTTAACAGTGGAGCTCAGGGCGCCTGTCAATAATTGAGGAAATGATGAAATGATTATCTGCGGCTTCTCGGGGGAGTGGGGGGGGGGGGGGAGGCAGCAGCAGCAGCAGCAGCAGCAGCAGCAGCAGCATCACACTAAAGCTGCTCTCCAGCATTATTATCACTAACAGCCATCTGTCATGAACTGAGGCTGCCTATAGGTGGCAGTAGAGGGGCACTGCCGCCTTCATCCGAGGAGGCTACATGATGAGGCTGAGGAACTGCCTTATCAATGTGTTTGATCATTTCTGCTGTGTAACTCGACTGTTATAGCACTGAACAGTCATTAGCAGAGATCAACACACACAGTAAAGAGCCACACACATAAAAAACACAGTACAATACACGTTTGCTCTTAAATCAAATGGCATAGATGTACAGTCCCAAGCACAACAGTAGCTGTACAAATTGTACACTGTGCTATACACACACATTTCCATGGTATACTGTTTCTGCACTTGAAATCAGTGTACCCTTCCATTCTGTCTGTTTTTTCATCACCCCTCTGTTGAGGTATCGAGCACACTGATCTGATACTAAAAGGTGAAGCCAGAAACACTGCAGTTTGTCGATTTGTCTTGCTCCGCACAGACTCAATATGCAAACCTGCTATTTTTAATATCACTGTTCCCATACACTGTTTGTACGTTTTCCTATGAAAAATAATGCACCAAAATAGGTACATATTCCAGTAATTCATGCATAACCCACATAATTTGGGAGGGTGTAATCACATGACCAATGCTCTGACAGGAGTAAAGAATAAAGCAGGAAGTGGTCTCGCAAGGGGGCAGGTCAGGGTGGGGGATGGATCACAAAACACAGGACTTTGCCCCAGGACTTCTCCCAGGAGACCAGTGTTCAGAACCAGACCTTGAGTGAACTCCAGGTACGTTGTCACCATGTTTTTTTCCTAAACCTAACCTCCATAACTTTACGTTAAGTGTATAACTTTATGTTAACTACATAACGTTGTTTGCAGGACATACGATATCCTACGAACCATTCCTAAGTGACACATCGTAGGCTACTGGACTTGCTTGAGTTTCTTGAAGATGGTTCACCTCACCTTCTTCAGTTCAGAGAGGTGAAACATCTTCAAGAAACTCAAGCAAGTCCAGTAGCCTATGATATAGCATTTATGATTACCATGACCTGGATGACGAGAACCTTCACCAACATACGAACGACTGTGCATGCATTTTTGTAGGATATCATGCAAAACGTATGAGGACACGTTGTCTATATATATCATCGACTGCAACAGAGGCAGTGTGTTCTGAAAATTTCAGTGTGCAAGCCTGTTTTTAGGTTGATCAGTGAGGTGCGTATGTTCCTCTGCGTCATCTGTGAGAGGAAATACTAAAAAATGTTATCTTACATTTAAGAGTACTGTCTGGGGTGAAAATGCTAAACAGGGCTACGATTAGGGTACATGTCTGTATGGGTTAGGTTTGGGTTCTAAGGGTACCATAGCAAAAGTGTAACCATGGGTGTATAAAGAGACCTGGATACACCACTGAACACAGGGCCTCATTCATTCATTCAACATTCGAGAGTTGCTCAGTGGCACATGAAGGCACATGGTTCAACTGCTGCATATGAAATTAACTGGGATATCTGGGAATGACCGTCACTACTTCTGTGCTGTTCAGCCCATAGAGCAAGCGCATTAGAGACGTACAACAGCTGAGCAGCTAACCTTCAGTATAGTGCTCAGCTAACTTGAATGGGGATAAAATTATTGAATTGACTTTGATATGTTATCAAACCGAGTGGATCAATCCAGTGAAACGGGTCATTTAATGGGGGTTGTGATGCTCAAAAACATTATCCACAGATTTACACTTACAGTACAGGCCAAAAGTTTGGACACACCTTCTCATTCAATGCGTTTTCTGTATTTTCATGACTATTTACATTGTAGATTCTCACTGAAGGCATCAAAACTATGAATGAACACATGTGGAGTTATGTACTTAACAAAAAAAGGTGAAATAACTGAAAACATGTTTTATATTCTAGTTTCTTCAAAATAGCCACCCTTTGCTCTGATTACTGCTTTGCACACTCTTGGCATTCTCTCCATGAGCTTCAAGAGGTAGTCACCTGAAATGGTTTCCACTTCACAGGTGTGCCTTATCAGGGTTAATTAGTGGAATTTCTTGCTTTATCAATGGGGTTGGGACCATCAGTTGTGTTGTGCAGAAGTCAGGTTAATACACAGCCGACAGCCCTATTGGACAACTGTTTAAATTCATATTATGGCAAGAACCAATCAGCTAACTAAAGAAAAACCAGTGGCCATCATTACTTTAAGAAATGAAGGTCAGTCAGTCCGGAAAATTGCAAAAACTTTAAATGTGTCCCCAAGTGGAGTCGCAAAAACCATCAAGCGCTACAACGAAACTGGCACACATGAGGACCGACCCAGGAAAGGAAGACCAAGAGTCACCTCTGCTTCTGAGGATAAGTTCATCCAAGTCACCAGCCTCAGAAATGGCAAGTTAACAGCAGCTCAGATCAGAGACCAGATGAATGCCACACAGAGTTCTAGCAGCAGACCCATCTCTAGAACAACTGTTAAGAGGAGACTGCGCCAATCAGGCCTTCATGGTCAAATAGCTGCTAGGAAACCACTGCTAAGGAGAGGCAACAAGCAGAAGAGATTTGTTTGGGCCAAGAAACACAAGGAATGGACATTAGACCAGTGGAAATCTGTGCTTTGGTCTGATGAGGCCAAATTTGAGATCTTTGGTTCCAACCGCCGTGTCTTTGTGAGACGCAGAAAAGGTGAACGGATGGATTCCACATGCCTGGTTCCCACTGTGAAGCATGGAGGAGGAGGTGTGATGGTGTGGGGGTGTTTTGCTGGTGACACTGTTGGGGATTTATTCAAAATTGAAGGCACACTGAACCAGCATGGCTACCACAGCATCCTGCAGCGACATGCCATCCCATCCGGTTTGCGTTTAGTTGGACGATCATTTATTTTTCAACAGGACAATGACCCCAAACACACCTCCAGGCTGTGTAAGGGCTATTTGACCAAGAAGGAGAGTGATGGAGTGCTGCGGCAGATGACCTGGCCTCCACAGTCACCGGACCTGAACCCAATTGAGATGGTTTGGGGTGAGCTGGACCGCAGAGTGAAGGCAAAGGGGCCAACAAGTGCTAAACACCTCTGGGAACTCCTTCAAGACTGTTGGAAAACCATTTCAGGTGACTACCTCTTGAAGCTCATGGAGAGAATGCCAAGAGTGTGCAAAGCAGTAATCAGAGCAAAGGGTGGCTATTTTGAAGAAACTAGAATATAAAACATGTTTTCAGTTATTTCACCTTTTTTTGTTAAGTACATAACTCCACATGTGTTCTTTCATAGTTTTGATGCCTTCAGTGAGAATCTACAATGTAAATAGTCATGAAAATAAAGAAAACGCATTGAATGAGAAGGTGTGTCCAAACTTTTGGCCTGTACTGTATCTCTTTCGCCACATGAGCCAATGGGAAAAGGTATTTCTGGGATGCAGGACATCAGGTGACCCCTACAAATATTGGCTTCAAAGCCTGGCGCACTTCCTGAGGACCTGGTGGAAACGCCGCTCAAGAATTGGGGTTGTCTCCACATAGCTCTCAACACGGAGGTGGATGAGCTGGTTGCTGGCAGCCAATGGTGCTAACAGCAAAAGTGCTGACAATTGATGATGGTGACACGGGGTGGAACTGGAG